AAAGGACCATTGTGTAGGATTTAGCATCTAGTGGTGTAGTTGCAACCCCCTCGCCTCATCCTCCCATTCCAAGGACGTCAGATAGAGGCCAGCAAAACATATTTGAGCCTTATAATGCTAATTTCTCACTGTAGATCAAGCAGACCAGTAAGCCAGCAGCAAACAAATGTGTCCACACACTATTTCATTCTCTATTTTCCTCTGAGAATTTTCCTTTTTTGGATTTGGAATCCAGCTAGCCTAGCTAGTGAGTCTCAGGCCTAGCAGCAACCATTATTAAAGTTTAACAAAATATAAAGGAAAAGGCACCAGGTCAGGACGCAAAGTGTGATACACATTTTAGTTGCTAAAATGTTAAAAAAAATGTTTTTTCCAATCTTACAATTGTAGAATGTAAGAATCACTTTAGGTCTACAACAATGACAAATGATAATGAAAAAGTAACCATTTTTCACATCCATATTTTTTCATCAAAAACACAATGATCTTTGAAAACATACCTATGAATATTATATTCAATTTCTGACTATAAGAGCCTCCTAAACGTTACACACTGGACCTTTTAGATAACGTTAGCTTTTCATGCAGTAACTTTACCTCGACTACCAAGCTAGCAAATGCCTTGTCAATGGCGCTAGCAAGCTAGCGTTAGAAAAACCAACCAAACCAATGAAGGCAACAAGTACTAACCAATCAGAGGTATTGAAGGGTAGGTCATGACTTTGCCACCCTGGGAAAAAAAACTGGCACACTGTTCCTACATACAAATGTTCCTTTTCATAATTACAATTTTGACCAAATAGGTACGTAAGTGTTAATATTATCAATTATGATCAGCTGAGAAACAGAGGATGCTTTTTTTCAACCTATAACTCAAACTCATTAATTATATTCATCAATATAACAAAATGTACAGTATAGAGGTAAACAGAGGGGTTGGACTTCAACATAACCTTTGTTTGAGACGAGGTTGGTGACTCACTTCAGCCTCTCCCCTTTCTCTGTTGTTTTCTTTTCAGCAGCTCCTGAAAGTTCTCAGCGGTCAGCTTATCTGGGACAGTCTGCTGACACAGAGGAGCTCTTCAGTTTGGTCTGCTCAAGGTCTCTCTCCTCTCCACAGGGCAGCGTCTCAGAGCACAGAGGCAGCCTTGTTTCTTACTGAAGTAGACTAACCTCTCTGCAAAAAATGATTGTCTCCCTCTCACTTCTCGAACCTTCTCATTGTGGATTAGGGTCATAACCTCTTGTTGTTTCTTGTTTCTTTTGGAAGGAGATGGATTTCAGGACAATAATTTGTAAATGCTTGGTCTTGTTGTAAGTATAGAGTTTGGTTGAGGGAACAGCTAGAAAGTCTTGGGCAGAAGAAGTAGAGTATGGCTTAGTCAAACAATATGTGATTGATAGGGATGAGCGAGTACACTATTATCTGTATCTGTTATAAACTAACTAAAATAAATTATCTATAATTGTATCCATATTTGGAATAGGCAGGGCTTAAATCAGACATGGGTTGTACTTAAAGCTGCAGTAAGTACCTTTAATAAAAATAACTTTTTGTCATATTTGCCGAAACTTTCACTATCTCCTGACAGTAGACAGATAATGTGTGAAACAATCTACTTACTCTGGCTCCTCCTGGTGCTCCTAATGGCATTTGTAAGAATCCACCGGGCCTGAACAAAAAAAAACAATCAGAGCAGAGAAAGATATAAAGACGCTTTGGGTTGGAGGAACATAGTTGATTGTTAAGTCTCATTCCCAGAGTCCCAATGCGTCAGTATTTGACACCCTTGGAATGAGCCTCAACAATCAACTGTCTTTCTTGGCTCTGATTGGTTGCTTTAGTTCCGGCCCAGTGGATTCTTACAAATGCAATTAGGAACACTTGGAGGAGCCAGAGGAACCAGATTTTTTTTCACACATTATAAATCTCATGTAATACTGTCAGAACACAGTGACAATTTCAGCAAATATGACAAAGTTGTTTTTGTAAAAATTACCTACCTGCAGCTTTAATAATAATCACATAATGCATCGGAGTCAAAATAGTACAAAACAAAGACATTCTGGTGTACAATACATTTTCATAAGTTATATCAGAACAGCATACGGAGACAAAACTGTAATCAAATCTGCTAAAGTATCAAGCACATCACTATAACAGTTCCCTGTGTGTGCGCATGTGTGCATGTTTGCAGCAGGGAAGCAGACTCCCATGTGTTACCCCAGCAGTGTGACATCAGCTCGGGCCATGATGCTCTTCAACCTTGGCAGTGCCTACTGCTTAAGGAGCGAGTACGACAAGGCCCGCAAGTGCCTGCATCAGGTAACCATGACGATAGTTACGTCCCAATAAAGTTACACCAGACATAGCAGGAGTTCAAAAAGCACCTCTTCTGAGCTGCAGGGGTCACAGCACCAATGTAACCCGTTTCCTTTCTTCATTATTCATGTGTGTCCACAATGGGCCCTTTTTGTTATTGTAGTAGCTTATGTGTAGTTTTAACTAGTCATTGTTCATTCAGTTGCAAACAGATGGTAAATGAACCTGTGCATTTCTAGTGTTCTGACCACTTTTACACTACATGTCACATTCACCCTTACACACACATTCACTCACTGATGGCAAAGTCCAAGCATGAAAATTAATTCAAAATTCATTTACTATTGGTTTGTCTTCATCAGGCTGCATCTATGGTGAACACCAAGGAGATTCCACCTGAGGCCATCCTACTGGGAGTCTACTTAGAGCTACAGAACGGTCAGATCTCTATCACTGTCACTGACACACTGTCTACATAAAGCCAATATTAAGCTGTTGAGGAGCTTCTTCTCATGTCAGTTCCCTCATGATGTGAGGAAAAACAAATACATATTGTAGGTGCTATGGTCAATCACAGCGCCACCATTTGTTGGTTTAACTGAATTCATTTTGGTTTATTACTTCATCACTACTTCATTATCAAAGATAATAAGAAATTTACTTTAATTAATATTAATTTAATTACTACTTTAATTAATAACTATTACCAAAATCACGATTAATAGATAAAGTGGAAGGCTTTGGAGTTCTGCATAGAAGAGGTTGGTATCACCCACTCTTGTACGAAATGAAATAGGCCAGCATTTTTTAAAGAAATAATAAACTCAAAACAGAGGAAAATACACAATCTGAAATCCAGCTAAAAAGAACTAAGCTAAGGAAAAAGGTGTGCGTGCGTGCGTGCATGCGTTGCGAAAAGGTGTGTGTCTTTTGTCCTCTGACTAGATGTTTCAGCTAAACATGAAACGTGTTGGGGAGAGACAAAGCATGGAAGAGCGGAAAGGTTAGATTTCCCTCTCCCTCTCTGAGAATTGTTTCTGTGAGGATTTTGAATATTGGCAGTTTTAGGAAAATTGATGACAAATTGAAAATGTGCTTTTGGAGTGGAGAAGCTCCAAATAGCACCTGTGGCAGTAGCTAACTAGCCAGTCTGTGCTCACAGATCCATCTTACCCCCCCAAAGACCATTGGAGCCAACACAGCAGGCAACTTCAGCAACAATAAAGCTTTACTTACTTACAATGGCAGAGGAAAGAGCTACAGCGGTCATTGTTCCTTTCCTACCCCTGTTATTCTGTCATTACATTTCTGATCAGAGAACTAAAGAGAAGATGCATTACATCTGTAATGAAGTAATGTCACAGAACGCAGATTAATCTGGTTCCTTCTAATCTTCATGATAATCCACATTTATAACTTCTTCTTAAGAGCATAATGGGATGATACTCAGTAGCCATCAGTATTTATGTCCCCTTTCCAAAACAGGAACCAGTCTGGTCTACAGACTGCAAAATTAATTGATTTAACAGTTTCATATTGCATATCACTTTGAAAAGCAGTATGGAGTATGTACTACATAGTGCACAGTGCGTTTGTCGGTAGTATGTAGTAGGTGGTTCTCTATACAGTCATAGTCTTGTTTACTTTTATTTAAAGCCTCATTTTAAATTGTTTTATATACTTTTTTTGACAAACCACTTGAGCCAAATTTTCTATGAGTTCGACAGTGTAGATTGGTGTTAAGTATAATTTAGTTATCAGTCAATATCATAATGACAGCTTTCAGTGTTTACTGAGCCAATAATCCAGTCCCCTCGTTGGCATGACTTAACTGAGTCAGGGTCTGATGTGAGTGAGTGGTTCAAATGTAAGGTAACTCTCTGGATCTATGTGGTGTGTCCTCAGGAAATACCCAGCTGGCCTTGCAGATCATCAAACGGAACCAGCTTCTGCCCACGGTGGTCCAAAGGGTCTCCCCAGACTCCCGCAAGAAACCCGTCCAGCAGCCCTTTCAGTCTGTCCAGCCAATCCAGCTGCCCTCACCCTTCACACAAGTTCAGCGCAAATGAGCATCCACAGCCACCTCTGACCCCAACCCCCCCCACACCAGAGGACAAACTCCACACACACTCATACACACACAGCCCTGAGGATATTTATAAAGCTGCTTCCTGTCAGCATCAGGAGCCGTATGAAATGCAGGTCTGACTGATGAGAGAGCGGTGAATTTTTATTTCCATTTGACTGAGGGATCTGTGTTGTCTCAACTATGAAAATAAATTTTATTTACTGTATGATGTGTGTGATTCTTAAATACCTACATTGTTTCTGTGCCACAGTGAATGCAGTAGGGACATTCTGACGATAGTGGTTGTTGTTGCTGTGCGTCTCTGTCCTCTTTACTTACTCTCTCTCGCCCTCTCTCTCTCTCGCCAAGTGCTTGCTCATAGTGCGAACTGTTGGGTCTCTAAATAATTTTATCTGTCCTGAGATAAATTTTGTTATGAATTGGCGCTATACAAATTAAATATCTCAGGACACTTCAAATAGAGCAAGAAGAGGCTGCGGCTGTGGCTCAGAGGC